CACAAAATAATTTTAAAAATCTCAGATACCAAGGGCAAAGTTTCCTCAAAAGCAAAGCTTAGTAAACCAAATATTTTTTCTTCACCAGAAGGGGAGGAAGAGGCTGTTGGTAAGTCTAATACAAACAGGCACGTTACAAAACATACCTTGAAATTGTGACTGCAGCTAGTGTTAAGTTATTGTGGAGATTATTTGACATTCATGTGTCATTCCTACTAAAATAATTCCTACTTGTTGGTGTTTTAATGAACGCATGGGTCAGTTTCTGAAAATTTTGATGGCAGGAAACTATCATTAGGCTTATAATCTGAACCTTTGAAAACTAGTGAGTTATTTGAGGCTGTTGGGTAGTAATGGTAGTAATGAATGTATTCATTTTTCAAAGATCGACTTTCCTTTTGTTGTCCTGAGAAGAAGTAAAACGTGTACAGCCACACTGTTATGCTGCGCATCTTTCCATTTCATCTTCTCCCCCAACCCCATAACTTGAATCCATACCTAAATTTTGGCCACACTAGCTTGAAGGTCAGTGGTTTCAAAGACAGTTATGTTACAATTTATAGTTAATTTTTACTAGTTGAGTTAATTTAAGTAGAGGAGAGACACCTTGTTTGGGCTCTTATAGACTTATCTCTCTTATAAAATGAGGTCTCAGTCCCTAATAAATACCAGAGAACTAAGCACGAGATGAAGCCTATAGGAAATGGGGTAAACTTTGTTCTGATGGCCTGAAACTACTATTAAAATTAATTTTGCTATGAAAATATGCGTAATTTGTTAGAAAAATACTGTAATTGTTCTCTGTTTCCCATGTGTATCAGAGGATAGAGATTTGGTGAGGTTATAAGATTTCCAATGCTATTGAATAAAGGGTTGGGTTCCTTTTGATTGAACTGATACCAGTAAATCAATCGTTGGCTCAGATGTGGTGGGGTTTATCAGCAAATAGACTTTGCAATTGGTGGAAACTTCTGACAGCATTTGGTTTTGCTCTTTAAGATAGATTGAGCACCTGAGTAGTTGTTGAGGAATGGAGACTTTTTTGTAGTTCAGTATTTTCTGAAGAGCAGCCTTACATTTTAGCCACAGGAGGAAGGCGAGAGGAAGGTTTGAAAGCTTTCCCTCCGACGTTGCACACTTTCAGAGGAGTCTGCGTGGCGAAGCCCCCTCAGCTCGCTGCCCGCGCTGTTTGCCTCCTCTGCGTGCCCAGTGTTCTGGGTGTTCCCACAAGCCTCAGCTGCCCCCGTATTTTCTTCTGAGTATGTATTGATGTGCAGTACCCAGGGACTGCATTTCAGGCTAGATTCTTCTGTGGCCTTTGAGGTAAATCTCAGTGACTCGGGTAGTTTTCATCTCCAGATGAACCAGAATTGAAGTCTACGCATGGCTTCTTATAGATAGTAGGAAAAGGGGAAGAGGTGCTATGGGAAAATCATTGCTCAAAATTTGAATGGTCCAATCAGACTAAGCAATGAAGTCTAAACCAGGGAATTTATTTTATTTTATTTTATTTTTCCTGGTAGGTGGGGTAAAACATGCAGTGCTATTGCAAAGAAAGTTCTTTGAAGAGAGTCAGCCAGCACCCAGCTGTACAAAAATCAAAGCAGCAAAGGAATCCAAGGCACAGGAGGAGTCTTCAGCCCTTCTTGTTGCAGGTAGAACAATATGGAAACTGGGACTGGCTTATGGGCGAAAAGGGAGGGGGAGTGCAGTGGCACCTTGAGTAACGGACAAGGAAGGACTGAGGAATAAAGGAAACAGGGTGTTGCAGGAAGACTTAGGGTATTATAGTTAGAATGAGTTTTTAATAGCTTTGGGACAGAAAAGAGAATTAACTGGCTTACAGAAAGTTTTTAAGGGATGCTAGAAAAAGAGCTTTGGGGTTTTCTGTTGCTTCATGTTTCTAAGGGATTGCATTAACATCTAGAGCCATGACTAGAACATCAGTTCCCAGATGCTTGCTGTTTCCCTGCTGTTAGCAAATATCTGGAATCCAGTAGCAGAACATCCCGTTTCCTTTGAATTGCGAGTTCATGGCGAAGTATGAAAGTTTATTCCTGACACTGGTGGGATCCCAGTTGTATGCAGTTTGGTAATCTGGCCTTGCCTTGTGGCAGTTGAGAACCTGCTGCAGTACTGCTGCGAATAACAACAAAATCTGGCCTTGTGTCAAGTTCTCCATCTAGCAGCAGTGCGTTTGTGGCCACATCTTAAACCCTGCTGCTAGCTTTCCTTGTCCATTTCCGAGCCCTGTTTGAGTCTGTTCCCCGGAAAGCCGGGCTTTCCCTGCACCTGGGCACTGTTGAACTGGGCAGCCTTGCAGAGCGCATTGCTGTGGGCTCGTAAAGCCCATGGCACCACGTTACAGCGCCTGGCTGGAGATCACTGGGTGGAGAGCTCACAACAGCAACTGAAGTCAAGAGCAAATGAACGAAAACTTCGTCAATGAGAATTAAAATACGTATATAATGCTGAGAATTCTGAAATAATTAGGTCCTTGGCTTCCCAGCTGGGCCACCAAGGTTTGTCGAAACCTTTTGCCTTATTTTTTTGTACTTCAATTTTCCGTCTCCACAATGGAGATAATATTTGGCATGTTACAGAAAGCATTAAAGTTGAGAAAGCACAAAGGTACTTTAGCAATGAGTGGTACAGGACTCTCCAGGCGTCAGAAATTCTTTTGCCTACAGGGTTTGGATACTTTGTAAGAAATGACAGCAAGACCTGCATTGTGCAGTAAGAAAAAATGTAACTTTTGAAAATACTCTTTCATTGAGCAACACAATGAACAATAGTGTGCTACCTGGGGCAGACGACCACGGAAAAATGTGTTTAATCATCATCTGGGGTCTCGGTTGCATGTGTACCAAAGGGCTGAATTCACGCAGCATAGACATTTTATTTTGAAAATTTCTGCTTTTAGGCAGTTGGCCTTGCAATTTAGTAGCTGTTTCCGTAGGATGTTTGCTTGCTTGTTTTTCTTTGTTTGTTTTTTCCTTTTTAGATTTTTATGGTGAAAATAGCTAGGTCCTCCCTCTGTGTTAGGTCTGTGATTTTGTTAGGTATGCAAACAAAAATGGACTTGCTAAATATTTAGATAGAATTATCCAAAGGGAAACCTTGTTACTGCAGTAAGTCAGGAGATAATGTGAGATAAGCAGCGGGGCTGCTTACTTTGTGTTGAGGAGCGCTGTGTCACCAGCTTTGGTTGGTTATCTTTTTACATTTTTTTCGCTTCTTTCTAATGATTAATGACATGCACCATCGGAGTAGGAGTAGATGAATTCCTGGTGTAATTAGGCTGGCAGAATGCACCTGTATTTTGGTGGTAGTGCCATCTAGTGATGGGCCCAGAGAGGGTCGGTGGACCAAATACTGAAGTGTGCAAAGGTAGGAAATGTGTTCAAGGAGATGAAGGACAGGAAGACAGCTTCCAGTTCTGATGAGTGGAAAAATGCCAGCGTTTTGCCTACATGCTAACCTGCTCAGTGCTGAGGAAGAAAGCAATGTCCTGAAGGTCTCTTTATGTTTCTTTTCATTGACTTTGGAAAGCTGTGTGCGTGAGTGTGTACAAGTTCTTGTGCTCCGTAAAACAGGTAAGTAGTTAGAGTTTCTCAGTGTCCTACTTATAGCCGGGTGAAACCCTAGTATTGCATTGCTTCATCTTTGCCTACTTCCAGGTAATGGCGAGGTTCGTTCTTTATTGTGTGCAACATATTCAGCTATTCAAGTGCAAATTCTACCTGCCATCCATACGGTGCTGATTTGCTCTAATCTCCCTGTAATTAAGATCTCCATCTCACTGTAATTAAGGCTGATACATTGTGAGGCTAAGTGTTGAGTAATTAACACTGGAATCTGTGACTGGAGTGTTTTTCTGTAATTAAATGACATTCAAAGACAGTTAGGTGTAGTATACCATACTTCTGGCATACATAAAACATGGAACAAATATCTGGACATTTGTACACATTGTGTAAGAGAACTGGACACTATTAACATTACTTTTTTTGGTGAGTATTCACTAGAGTAGCATTTGGAACAGTTCATTAAAATAACTAAGCAAAAGTAATGTATCACTTCTTATGTACGCAGTCTTTCATGCATTAAGATATGTTATTGACATCAGTAGCTACTTAAGTACAGGTAGGACATTCAGCGCTAACAAAACACTATTTGGGTATTCTCACCTCATTTTTATTACTTGTTGATTCCTAGTTTTGTTTTAAATTGATTTTAAATTGTAAAATGATAATTACCATGGAACTTACTTTTCTAGGAAATAAAGTCTGACTTCATAATATTTTAGTTTCTCTGCATGATCTCTCAAAATATATTTTATTTTATAAATTTTAGGCTTATTCAAACTCATCCTTGACATGGAGACAAAAATTAAATGGATCATGGTTTTGAGTTGCAAAGACAGCTTGCGTAAGACCTCTCACCACATTTTCCTAGAGCTTTACAGATGCATTTTAGTTAGATGCATTAGTCTTACGGGAGTTATCAAAATGTAGAAATACTTAGTAACAAATGTAAAACCTGTTTTAATTCAGCAGAAGAAACTGATCTGAATGGACTAGCAACACCTAGTTGTGGTTTGCCACATCCATCAAGGACAGATGACTTGTGTACCGTGAGGTAAGAGTGTTGCACTTGCTTTGGGAAATATTCATGCGTTAAAAATATAGTTGAAGATATGTAATTGTTTTTCTATGTTGTCTTTTAACATTTTATAATTATACTGTGGTTTCAGAAGTGGTTACCTGCTGCTTTTTGCAGCCATGCCCACTGATTGTAGGAGAGGAACAAAAGGATTACGATCCCCTTTGATATATCAAGCTTGTTATAGGCTGTTTGGGGTAAAGAAGCTGTTTGTGAAAAAAATGTATAAAATAACAAACTTTGTTCAGCTTACTTGTTTGTGCATTTTTTTTCTTCTGTTCACTTGTATCCTGAGACTTCAGGTTTGTGAGATAAGATTGTGCAGTTAAGACGAGATGGAGGAGGAACTAGGCGTTATTCTACTGCTAGTTGCCCAGCTGAAGGTGTTCGGAAGTGGCAAAAGTGAGGAGTGGTGGTCAGGGTACCTCATCCTTTTTGCCGGGTTGGAGGTAGTGTCAGCAATAACAATTGCTCGCAGAGCAGCCTTTGCTGCCTTGTGAGCTCAACGAATCAACTCTGTAACTATGAATTTGTGTGGGGTCAAATTACCATGAGGTAATTTTCTAAAGCAATTAAAGTAACCTGAGTTCATACTGCTGTAGTAGCATAGTTCCTTATTTCTTCTGTTCTGGTTTTAGGAACAGTTATTCACTCTTTTGGTTTAACAGGTCATTTGTTTTAATAGTTTTCGGTGGTAAATTTCTAACAATCAGCATGTAACTCTAAAATTTTAGAAAAGGTAGAGGGTTCAAGACTTGAGACAAATTTAAAAAAGATATTTCCTTGGGTATTATTCATAACGGAAGACTTTGCACTTGAAATAGAAATGAATCATGAATAGGGTGTATCTCGAACACGTCATCCAGAATGTCATCTAAAAAATGTAAACTCTTAAATTGCTTTCTCGAGGTTCCCATTTTGCTTCTAAAACATTAATTGGTGATAGTACAAGATAACAAATCCACTCCTCTATTCTATGATATCTTTTCTCATTTTATGCTCTTATGCAAGTTTAAGACTTTCTCCCGAAGAAGACTTAGTCAGATTGTTACTCTGCTCAAAAAGTGAAGTCAGTGAAAGGACTCTTCATGCCTTCAGCAGAAATTTATGAACTCAGCTTTACAGACATGTTTCCGAGTATTTTGTATGAAGTGAGAACACTGCTATTTCTGATGAGTGCATCTGTAAGTGAATCTTGCCGTTCAAATGGTATGGGTTGTGCGTGCCAGAAAGAAAACATGCATTTGTAGAGATGAAGAAAACTGGCAAGAATGTTGAATTGCACATGGAAGCAAAATCTTTAGTTTATTTTGGATAGTTTTCATTTAAGTGCAAAACTATCTTTAAAAAAACCTCTCCCAGCACGTAGAAAGTCCAGCCACTTTGCTTTAGGTTCCTAGCCTGTATTCTTTTGAGCTGCCACAGACTGGATCCTTCTTTAACAAAGGTACTGTAGTGTAAAATTTGAGAGAATCTTGATTTTTGATCGATGTCTTGTTGTATCATCTTGCGTAATTCCTGGTTTGCTGCCTATTCTGTTTTTAACAGCTCTCAGTTCCTGGTTTGTAGGCTAAACAGACGCTTCCCGTTCATGTCCACCGTATTACAGCTTTTGCTAAATGAGCTATTTCCTTCTGCACTGTATTTTTTACTATGAAAGTAAATACCATGTGATTGCACGACAAAATAAAGTGGGGCCCTCTGAAGCTTCATAACTGCTTGAATCATTCGGGTTAGCGTGTTTGTCTTACGTATCTGTTTGTGATAATAGAAATGGAAAAAACAACCTTCGGAATGGAACTTTATTTGTTAATGGCTTATGGGACGAGTTACTCGGTGCAAATGTGAGTTGGTGTTGTTGACATTAAGTAGGGTTTTTATTCCAAAAATAGCACTGGTGAAATCTTGCTCTGTCACTCAGAATGTGAGCAGTTGCTACTCCGTGTCCCGTGAGTGCGGCCTTTCTGCTCAAAGATGGGTGTCCATGTTGTGTAAGATTTACTGTAGAACTCCAGGGCGTTACCCTACTTTGGACTTGCTCTGCATTTCAGAAGCATCTTTATTGCTGAAGTATAAGGATATTTGAAGGATATTTGTTCAGTTTCAGTCTGAAAGAGTAGTTCCTTATGCTGTTGCTGTTCCCTTGCATGCATGTACACTATCTGTCATGCCAGAACAAAATTCTGGTGAAACATGAACAAATGAGATCAGTATTTTGCAAAATTCGGAGTATTAGTTTAGTCTTCATGCAAACATAACTTTCAGTACAGATTAATTGGAATCCTTTTTAGGTAGAAATATTGTAATAGTTTTCTAAAACCCCCCAAAATCTTTACTGGAGACGTATTTAGAGGTATTACAGTTTAATGACACAAGAGCTATGGAAGAATATTCATCAGGATATTGGTTCTTCTGAAAACATTTACTTCTTCCAAGTGAAGCTCAAACGGGATAAAATCAATTAATGCTATATCCGTACGTACATCACTGTTGCTCTTTCATATACCTGAACATTCTCATTCCACCGGTATTGTGACTGTGGTGATGGTTTGGGTTTTTTTCAAGCTTCGTGTTCAAAGAGCTATTGTTATCGTAATGCTCATTCCTTGTGGAGCACTAGTCAGTTACCTGACAAGCAGGCTACATGTCTATTCTACAAGCAAATCTGAGCTTCAGGAAGTTAGGTTTTACCAGTTTTATTATTGGCGAAGTTTTGCTGCTCCTTTGTGCACCTGGAAAAGAATCTTTTTTTCTAAAGAATCAGCTTCCTTCTTCCCTCATTTTATGTCAAAAGTGTACAGCCAGGAAGTATGACAGTCACAATAATTGTATGCCGCATTTCTTCTCTCAAATTGGTTCCAGAAAAATTGTTAATACTGCTGTAAATGCACACATATGGTCTGATATCCTCTCTGCCTTTTCAGTCTCCAGTGGGCAGGTTTCCAACAAATCCACCAATAAATTCCCCGTTACCCCCGTGAACTCCACAGTATGCTTTCCTTCGTTTATTCCCAGCACCTGGAGGTTCCTATATATAGTGACGGTCTCTAGGGCCTCTGACTCTTTGCAGTGATTTTTCTTTTTTTTATTGAGGCAAACGAAGCAGCCTTGTTGGTTTTAGTTTTGGCAGGTCTGGTTTTCTACTTAGAGTGATGGTTTACTTATAAAACCACATGTAAGCTTTTTTAATTAGATTTTTTTATTCCCCAAGCAATTATTTTGACAGTCTGTCATTCACTACTTCATTAACCATATATTAACAATTTTGACTATGTTTTTATAGGAATACAAAGATGTCAAAAAGCTGTATTTTTAATGTTGATCATTTTTAGTGCTGCAAAACCGCGCAACTGACTACCTCTCTCCCCACTCCCGGCTATTACTATGATCCTTTTTGAAACATCTCTGAGGAAAGGTAGAGTTATTTGGGAAATGCTTGGCCTGATCCATGTAATAAATTATTATTTTTGGTCCTATAAACGTACATTGCTTCAAGCTTCACAGCCGCAGACTTGATTCAGTGCTCACTGCATGGATGCCTGTCTGAATTAAAGTCATGTTTGTGAACGTAGACCTCTGAGATTGAAATTCCTGGGAGGAGGAGGAAGGAGGGATGTTTGAAAGATTTAATGCCAAGGATAAAGGGAAGATGTTGCACATCTTAGTAAATCTGAGAGAAAATGCCATAGATGGAATATGATAATCTGGAGACAATGTTCAGCACCAGAAATCCTTAAAGTAATCGTTGTGAGAAGCTGCAGGGGCAGCAGTCAGGGAGAGTTGTGCGTTGTGTCCCAAGCATGTAATACTAGTTGCGCTCAGAGATGACTCGATGACAAGGGGTTCTTGTAGTCTATGCTGTTAGCAAGAAAATGTTTGTTACATTAAAGTCTTAAAAAAAAATAAATGAATGTCATAATATGTGTGTAAAAGAGTAGAAGTAGATTGCATGCATGTATCTGCATATATCGAAGTATCGTTATTTCATTATTAAACATTGTACCTCTCAAAGCATCACCAAATGCCTTTATTTGCAAACCGCTATTATTATAAATCCTGCCTATAAAGCTAAGCAAAACAGTGACCAGTTTTTGTGACTACTGATGTAAAAATGTCTTGGACAGACGTATTTCCTTGAACTGCATATAAAATTCTGCCATCAATTCTGTCACCCCATTGCGAGGAATCTTTAGGGCCGAATGCATTCTTCACAGATAAAATAATTTTGCTGTGGTGTGTCTTGTACCACTGCCCTCCAGATACAATATATAACAGTGATCTGAAGACAGGGACAACAATATCATTTATTCAGGAGATTTAAAAAGCAGTGAGATTTATCTCTGTTAAACAGCCTTTTCTATTGTTTCTGATCAATATTCATTTTTTCAGCAGCAATAATATGTTGAATTTGTAAGGGGCATAGGTACTTTAGGGAATAAAATGTGTGCTGTCTTGTGGAGAACCATTCACAGCAGCGGCTGGTATTACAAAGTTTGGGAAGCTCGTTAATGCTGAAACTAAGTGACAGCATTCCTGGCTGCATTTTCCCCCTAAGAAGCTCATTCTATAATAGAGCAAAACGGTATTAATTCTAGATTTCTGGTCTATCTGTAATTGTGTTACAGTGTATACCAAATGTGAACAGTAATAGAACAGATGTATTTCTCTCCTCAAAAAGCAAAGCAGATGTACAGAAGAGTCTGTAAGTTACGGTATTGTAGTATGTACTACGAGATGTTCTACTTCATGCATCTCTTCAGGCACTTGGTCTCTTACTCGGAAGAGAAGGACCATGTATCCTGTTGATACCCTTTTTTGATGTCCTTTACATGTATATTCTGGCAGTTGAGCTCTTTTAGACTTGATTTTTATTTTTTTTTAAATAAATTGTTTTGGTGGAACCTTTAGCATGGCAGGGATTATTTTTTTCCCACATTTCTTAAATAACTTCAGATCTTTTTAATGTTTTCAGAAGTGTGATATTTGCAAAAAACAAATTTCTGGATCAGGCCCAATTTCTGAAGCAGAAAGCAGTTGCTTGTCCTCCAGTTAATTCAACTTCAAAAGAAACTGAGAACACATCTGATAACGTGGGAATTCTGACATATGAAGCAGACAAAAAAGTCACCAGGAATGGTAAGTTCTGGATGGAGCTATGGGCAAGATTTTAAAAGGTAGATACAAAATTCTGTTTCTCTTCTGTTTTTCATTTATTTATTTAAGAATTCAAGGTTAAAACAAACAAACAAAAAAAGAGTTATGGGACCTGTGTTTCTTCAGAATCTAGTAAAGCTCTCTTTTTCAGTTTCCTTAGCTAGCAGTGTGAAGCAGGGATGATGGTGGTCCTTTTCTGCCACTTGGAGTGTTCCAGGGGTGAAGTGAGGGATATTTGTAAGGGGCTTGGTTACAGAATGATGGAATTTGTGAAATAGTAAATGAGTAATGTTGGAGCTAAACCAACTATTTTAACTACAAAATTATCAAGTTGTTTCATATCACTTACATCACTTTTTCCACTAGGAGCCAGGTTTTGATCTGTGGTTTACACTCCATTTTTATTTCCCGTACCTGTTCATTATGTTAAATGAAAAACCACAGCCCCACTGAGAGATATTTTGCTCTCTCGTCTGTAGCTTATAATTGACGAAGGCCCTGTGAAAGATGGGAGGAGATGATAACCACTGTAGCAATGGATGCTGCAGCATATACTAATTCACCTGTTAAATAGCATGTTTGTCTGGCCAAAAACCGGCATGGCATCACAGGGTTGCAGTGCACGCTGCTCCCAGGGCACGTTATGAAAAGTACATTTGCTCATCAGTAAGCATCACGTGATAACATTCAGTTATGGTATCGTTCTATCTAAATAAGTGAATGCACCGATATTGTCAACCAAATCTTTACTTGACAGCTGGTTTCTGTTGCTGTCCACTGTGGCAGAGTTTGGCGCTCCTGCTTTTGTGGACAGACCTTTTGAAGAGCAGCAAAGAAAACCCTACTGCAAGACAGAGAAAGAGGGGGACATTCTGGAGCCCTGTGTGCGTGCAGGTGGTGGTGTGCAGCTCGGGTCGCAGCGCAGGGCTGTGCTTGAAGAGCTTAACCGTGAACCACATCTGCCCCGGTTACCTTGTGGCTCTGCTTTGCTCTTTCTTTCCCGTGACTCTGGAGACCCGTGACTTCCGTGATCAGTTCTACACAATTCTCTCTCAAACGTCCACGTGCTATTTCTTTCAAAATCAAGGCAGTTGGAATTTTTCAGTTACGAGCTTTTGGTGAACAGTTACACGCTTTATGTAGGGAGTTCTCTTTGTGGGTTATCATTTTGCTTATGTTCAGGGAGGACTGTTTTTTCCCCAGTGTAATTTTGGTACTGCTAATGTTTCTTGTGGCATTACTATTGTTGTTAAAAGACAGAACTTTAGTACCATGTTGCATGCCTCTTTCCTTCCATTTGAGTGCTAAATTTGTCCTTAAAACATTCTGCCATTCCTTTTATTATAGGAATAATAATAAACCAGGACCAGCAGCAGTAATATTTCTGCAGCAGTTGTTTGAAGTTGCTTTGTTCACTTGCTACTTTTTTTGTCAAGCTAAAACTACCTGTGCTGAAATTCTGTGCCTGCTTAGTTAGCAGATTGGACAAAGCATCTGAAGCTGGGATTGAAATACTTGGGGCTGGGACTGACTGTGCTTTTACTGGTTGGGTGGAGACTGGATCTGGGTGAAAGGAATTTTGGGAATAATTGCTCAGCATCTAAGAAAGTGGCAGATATTAATGAGTCTGTCTTCATGGTATACTTGTGAGGTAAAGGAATGATAATATTCCTGTTTTGTAGACGGGAAGTTATAAAATGCAGGTTTCTGGAAACAATTTAATACGTATCCCAAAGAGTACCATATATGTGTCATAATGTATATACACAAGGGAGGAATAGTAAGGTGGCAAAGATAAATTGAATTTTGGTAATTGCATGAACTTCGAATGCTTGCTGTTGCAAAGTTAACTTTCTCGTAAAGTAGTGATTTTATATGTAGTATAGTGCACAGCAATGGAATTTTGAGCGTATTGAAATACTAGTTGGTGTTAAAGTGGATAATTGACATCTTTTTCTAAGGCCGATACTGAATTATGCTCCCTACTGCAGTAAATTTTAAATTAATTCTTTGATTAATCGCAGCAAAATGTTTCCTTCTTCCTACTCAGTCCAACTCTGCCTTCCATCAACAGGTACAAGAGCTTCTGGTCCTAAAAGAAATGTTGATCCTACTATGGCAAAGAAATACGGCGTTACTTCACTGCACTTAGATCTCATGCCTCTCCTCTCAGGTATCACTCTGGTAGGACGGGGCAGGGAGGGAGCGACATGCCAGCTGTACTCTGAAACGCCTGTGCTGGTGGAAACTGTTTTGGAAAATCCAGAATATGAAATTCCCTAGGGATAACAGCTGTCTGGTTGAGAAAGGTTTGGGATTTGGTTTTGATCTGGGGGAGGCTGACATACGTTCAGAGGTCTGTGTGCTCTGAAGGGCGAGATGTCCAAAACGACCCTGTGGTGTAGTTCTCCGTCAGCATGTACGCTGAAGTTCTGCTATCCTGTTTGATTTAGCATGGGTTGAAAGTGGGATATTGGTCAGAGTAGAGTGGGGTATTTCTGCAGGTGTCTGAGTGTAACTAGATTAACATTCATTATTAATATATATTGTCCTATTTTAGTGTGTAGTGAGTTAAATCTCCCCGTTGTTCTGTGCACACAGACAGAAGTAGCGGTATGTCATGCAGCACGGAACTCGGCTGCTGAGGGTATGGAAGTGGCAAAGCCGCTTGCAGAGAAGCCAGTTTGTTTAAAGGTGCTTGTTTACCTTTAGCAAAGAGTTTAATTATGATGAAAAGTCTGTGAACTGCTTTAATTTTTTTTGTTTATGCGAACCGTATATTTGCAGCTTCAAAAAGAAATAAACTGTGTTTTCAACAGTTCATCTGGGTGAGGGTTTTGACACTGCTTTGGAGACTATTTTCTTCCCACTGTAAAAGATAAATAATATTTGAAGAAGTTAAAACAATACTTTTGTTTTATTTTAATACAAATTCGGTGGAGATTTGTAATTAATTGCATCAAATTATGGGTGCCTTGATGGGTTTGCTTCTATAACAGTATTTAATCTTGTGTGTTTAAAAAGGAGAAAAATCAGTGATCAGTCGTCTGGCAGAAAATAATCCTAAAGTTTTAGATGCTTACGTGACTTTCACTGTGGAAACACCTCTTCTGTCTGAAAGACAAAGACATGAGTTGAATCCACTGATTATAAGGATTAATTCAGCTACCTGCCTCCCAAACACACCTGTACCAATAGAAGTGCTGCAGGTAATACATACAGCTACGTCTTTCTGAAAGAATTTCCTCGTTACGCTCAAGTAGCTTTGCTTAAAATATGGGCATGGTTTTAGACATAACTTTCCTTATTAGTAGAAAATTGAAGACTATGACTAACATATTCCCTGAAAAAACGTGGCCAGATTAGTGCCTACGTATCATAGGTACTGGCAGCAAACCAGCAATCTTGGTGTTTTCCGAGGGCAATAATTTATATATCATCATCCCCTTTTGATTTCTGAGCAGTGGATCTTGAGTAAACCAGAGAAGATCTAATTCAGTCGCAGTGCCATATTGTTTGAAACAATTTGCTGACAAGTCAGGGCAATATTATTTAACTTCAAAAAACAGCTAATGTTTCACAGCTTAAAAAATGCTGTGCACAAAAAAAAGTTCTATATTGGAGAGAACATAGTTTAAAGTTTTTGGGTTTATATTTATAAATTTTGAGAGATGAGTTAGCAAATACGTTCTCTTGTTAAATGATTGCATTTTTAGGCTTAAAGAAATGCTATTTTAAAAAGACTTTTTTCTGAGTAATTATATATTGTTGATGTGAAAGTGAAGTTAAGGTCCTTTATCCTTTGGTCCTATATCCTTTGATTTCAGGAGCTATTTTGTTGGTCCCTGTCTGAGGTGGAATTATAAGGGAGTAGTATTTGAAAGACCTGGTCCAAGTTGCATCAGCCTGGTCCTTAACATCCGTAGGATGTTTTGCTATTGTTTTTGTGGAAATAGTTTAATGATATTACGTCAGGAACTTTGTAATGGCCCATATGGTTCTGTGGTGGAGTTTTACACTGCAGCGCTTGTGACAGACGAGGCGCATTGGCTTAGCATTTATGAAGAGAAAAATACCAATAATCGCGCAACATAATCAATAACGGAGACAAAACCACTCTGTAGTTTCTAATGCAATTTGCAAAATGAAATACTGAACTGTTTCAAATTTGCAGTTGTCAGGATAGTCCTTGACATGTAGCCTCCGCTCCCTGGGGGCTGCCGTAATGCAGATGGACGCTTATGTGGAGGAACCACAACAAGTACTGTGGAATGAATCCCCCTGTTTGCTTCCCCGGATTTATAAACAAATAGCTACTGATGGAGATCATCCAGTCCATTCTCTACAGTATCTCTGGATACTTGTTGAGTTTCCTAACTTCTAGCTGTAGGCATTTGTTTTAGGCCTCAAATCCTACAGATGAATGCATGGGGAGAAACAAAAAAGGTCTCGGAGCCATTGCAGTCCCCAGCATGCTCCTTTTATGATCTAGATGCAATGTCAGTTTTTCTGACGTATTTGGAAAGTCAACAAAGTTGAGGACAGACAAATGAAGGGGACAGTATATTCCCAAAACCCAGGATACAGGCATGTAGAGTGGCCTCTTTGCTGCCTCGGAAGACTGTCATTTGTGCTATGGAGTACATCCCCCATACTTCCCTTAATAGAAAAGCTGAATGTTCTGTGAGGTTAAAAATAAAAAAGAAAGAGGTTAATGCTGCAAATGTCTGTTTCTCCTCATCTTTTTGTTCCTTAGAGATTGTGCATTCCCACCTACTGCAAATACCAGTTTCATGACTTTCCACCTCATCGAACTCACGGACAAGTCCATGGAACTCACGTCTACTTTAAGGATGTTAATGTACTTCTAACAGGGATGATGAAACCTGGGGAATTACAGAGGTGTCTTAGAGGTCCACCTTTGGAGATTGAAGTTCATGACCGGGATAGAAACATGGAAAACAACACAAACCCCCCCTGTTTGTTTGGGGAAGATGAAGCAGATGAAAAAGTGGGTAAGGTGAGCTTCCTTGCTTGCAAATCCACAATCTGTGATTCTTTTACAAAGGACAAAGTGTGGCATCCACATGGGGTAGCTAAAGTCAGTTTAACTGATTTATTGTTGGGTAAAAGGTACTTGACTGTCAGTGCTCCCATTCGTAGCTGCTCAGCTCCAAATACAGCTGTCTTCAGTGAGGAGGATAAAAAAAAGAACGTGACAGAATCTGTGAGTAGTTCTTCCCTGCTACCTATGGGACATTATCTAGAATCGGACTCACTTTTGAAAGTAAGAGTGGAAATAGCTGTGCCGTTGGGAATGCAAGCAGAAATTGCTGATGCTCAAGTCACAAACTGCCCATATGGTTGTATAATCTACATTTTTGACTACAATAATTCATCTTTATTACATGATTTGGTGGAAGAGATTACAGAAATCAATGCTAAAGCCCTCCAGCTGGACTGCTATCCTGTACACTTAATTGGAATGGCTCTTGCTGCATTAAAACTGAAAACCACACTTGAGAAACTTTCTGAGTTGGATATTGTTACTGGTTTTCACTTACTGGATGGAGCAACTCATCTCTTTGTCTTGGAGGGATTAAAAGACAAAGCAATCAAGAGACTATGGGATAGACACTTTGAAAGGTAGGAGAGTTTGACGTTATTCATCAGTTATTTCCTTAGATTCAGAGGTTTTATTTGGATTTATATTTCCCCCATCCCTTTCTACACAAAGATATATGGGCAAGTATGTAGCTGATGCTTTCTATGTGGTTTTAGTGGATATGAGTCCCAGTGGCTGCTTCATTTTGAGGCATAATCTTCTCCTCTTTATCATGTTACACCACCGATCATCCATGTAGTTAAAATGAGAAGTATGGCAACATGTACTTTTTTTTGTTAAGCTGCTACTTGGTTTGTGGAAACAGCACTATAATCTGCCAATTCTACATAATAGCAAAAATACTTAATGGGCTCTAAACCAAAAATAGTCCCTGTGAGGAATCCGGACTGCAAGCTCTTTCTTCTTTTGAGTTTAGGGGAAAATGTAACAAATTCAAAGTGAATGTCTCCCCAGATTTCAGGCTGAAAAAATAATTGATATTTTTTCCAGCACTGTAGCACATTGTTAAAGCTTTCCTGTGGTGGTTTGGTGGTGGGTTTTTGTTTGTTTGTTTAATGCAAGTAACTTCATTGTGGTTACTGAAATTATTTATTGCGTGAAAAGTTGTCTCTTGTCAGTGATCACTTGTAGCCTAAATTGAAGCTTTTATTCACTGCTCTAGTATGAATTTTGGTATTTTTAGTAGAAATATTTATATAATGCTTTTTTAGCTCTAATAAGGTTGTTAAGGGGCAGGACCCTGATGAAACTGAAATGAGCTTCCTTTCAAATGTTTGCCATGTGGCTTAAAAAGAAAACATGTGCAACTCAGTTATGAGAGTTTGCAATTATCTTTGTAATTTTGTCCAAAATAGATTTTTCAGAACAGTTTATGTGAAGTGAAGGCTGTAAGAGGTTCCATCTAAAGGACAAAACCAAAGCAGTTTCATTAGAGAGAGTAATTGTACTGTAGACCTGAGGAAACCTGAGATACAGGCTGATTGTCTTAACCTTGTCCTTGGGGTGCTTTGGTACAGGACTTACAGACGTGAAGATGGACAACTGGAAATACTGTATAACTCACAACTGTCTTTCCATCAACGCCTGTACACAGACCTGGAAGCTATCTTTTATCGTTTCCGCCTCTGTCAGCCCCTCTTCGCTATAACAGCACAGCCTCTGCTCTACGTCAGAGGTATGGTTCCTTGGGCCTGTTTCCAAGCCTTGACCAGGTATGGCTTGTCCAGATTCAGAGTTAGCAAAGTAGAGTGAATATTTGATACAAAAAATAATACTCTTGGGTATCTTTTCCCTGATGAAAGCAGTCTGTGGGCCTGATGGGTAATTCAGTTTTGAGATCGGGTGTGTAAGACAGAGGAGCATGGTTTTCGAACGGCTGATGCAGTGGTAGCTCGGTATCGGTGAGCCCACTTTTAGTTTGGGCAGTTTATAATTTCTAAAGAAGAGAGGTGTATCAGTAGGATAGTATATCAGAAAATATCTGAATATAATACAAATAGAAGAAAGAGAAAATTCCGGTGTCAGAAGCATCGTCTGGGAAGGATTTACTTCTCTGCTCCGTTCTCCTAGAGGTGCTGTAGGATGGAGTAAAGAAGAGGCCAAACAGGACTTGATAGAGCCAGAAAGTCACTTGAACTAAGTGGGGAATTCTAAAAACTGGCTTCCTACGGTAACGAGAGAAAGGAAGAGTTTTGTGAGAGTTGGGAGAATATGTTTCCCATTCCTAGTTTTTTGTTTGAGGGTTTTGTTGCGGGATTTATTGCTGGATCTCTGCCAGGTTGCTCACTTTGTCAGCATGCAGGTATTCACAGCTGTTTGCCTTAAAGCACCTCTGACATTACATCTCGTGAGATGGATTAAAGAAAAAGAAATTGGGTGAAGTCTTATGCACATACATCTCTATCTATCTAGATATTTAGTAATCTATGAAAAAAATTCTGTGTGGGGTTTCTTTGTTTGTTTATTTGTAAATTAAGACACATCTATTGAGAGGTGGAAAAAGGTACCATCCATCTTTGATATAAGCTACTTGGATTTCAAAAGCGGAGATGGACTGTGATTGCTTGCTTTCTTGCTAGAAATAGACTGGCTTGTTTAGATTAACTTCTGAACTGAAATCCTGCAAAGCTTATTTGAAATGCCTGGGGACATTTAGTCCCGAGACAAGGAAGAGTGAATGTCTCCTAGATGTCAGTCTGATTTCATAAAAAATTCTTGTTAATCTGCAGTAGTATACACAGTCTTGTAGCAGCCTTACCCCTTGCCCTCCCACATGCCTGCGTTTTGGTAAAACATATTCCTTAACATATATAACATATGGATTACCCGTCTACTACAAGTTTTATTTTGCATGTGTCAAGCTACCTGGGCAGCGCAGTGCTGATCTAGCAGGCTGGTTTTGGCTATCTGTTTCCCCTTGTTGGCTGGCCCAGTCAAGTTCAAGAACTGTTTATTTGCTGAGGACTAATGAAACTTAACCTCATAAAGCTAATGAAGAGTGAGGCCTTTACACTTAAAGTTCTGAAGTATATTTATAGTCGTGATCTGCCTGTAATTTGGGTACTTCTTCACATATCTGTAATTTGTGTCATGTTTACTCTAGAGATGGTGAGAAGAACACAATATGAAGGTGACTGGTGGCCGTCGCTGTGTTGTTCTTAAAAGTCCTTTTTTCTGTTTATTTTTTTCTTCAGTTGGTAAATACCTTTCTTCCTTTAGCTGTGTGCTGGCAATATTTGAGGTAGAAAATAACGCAATGCTGCATGTTTTAGATACTTGGTAGTTAATTTTCTTGTGAAATTTTGTTGTGGTATCTCCTGGCTAAAAAAAAAAGAAAATTAAATCAGCAGGTTGGCTACTGTGCGCAGCTTGCTAGATAGCTGTGGCTCGGGTTCCTGCAGTGAAAGTGACGGTTTCGGGATGGCTGGGATAATTTTAAATGCAGGGGGTTATTTTTCCACTAGAGAGAAGCAAAGCTGCAGGAACGGTCACTGTACTTCTGTACTACTCAGTAAAAGCATCTTTAGTGGCTGAGCCAATGTCCTTCCAGACACCAGCTCTTTCCAGTAACACGCCGTCACGGATGAGTGAATCATGTCGCAGGCTTTGGGTGTTAGTCCTTTTTGCCATACCCTCCTTCTGCTGTGTCTGTAGTTATTCAGAGAAATACAAATAAATTCTTCACTAGATTATACAGACTGTGACTGTGTTCAAGAGCAGTCTCTAACCTGTAGAACTCCTGGGGTTTTTTTAGTTTTTGGTTTGCTGTAGTCAGTGGTTTAATGTGTGCACGACAGAAACTGCTGCTTCTTGATATGTTTCCTTCTGCTAGAATTAGCCAGGAAAGTAATTTTAACTGTAGAAAAACTAATGCTCGTGATCCATATGCACAATGTCCAATTTGTTTTTTAACATACCAATATCAATTCCATTTGTGTCATTAATGCAGATGCAATTTTGAAATTAATGTTATTTATCGGTTGCCTGTGTTGTTCAGAAGTAACGGTAGGGAAATAATGTTGTTGCAGTGGTTTTACAACTGAATTCTTTTCCGGTACTTTGTAAACTTACTCTCCTCAAATAGAATAGCTATGTAATAAATGAATTAACAATTTTCCACTTTTGGCAAGGAATCATAATACTATGTTTGGCTATTGGATAAGGTCCCTTTATTTCATGGCCTCTGCTGTGGCCTGAGCCAGAGAGACTGAGAATTGAATTACGTGTGTGTGTACAAAGTGTGTGTGTGGTGCTCAATAGCTGTCATATATTTAGAACTGCGTTTGTGTTGACACTAGTGTTTTCAGGCCGTATTTCGTGAATTGAGAGAAATCAGATATGAGGTAAGTGTTGTCATGAATGGCGTGTAGAATGAAAGTTGATCAGAATGAGCTGTAAAATTGAGGTAAGGCAGGATGGATTTTAGGGAGTGTTCAACATAAATGTGGGTTATGCACTAGAACCAGTGTGCATGAAGGGAATTTGCTTTATTGCCTTTCCAGCCAGAGGCTAGAGAAATTCAGCAACTAACTTGCGCCTAAGTCCTCGTAGGTTTATTAAACTGCTAAACTTCTGTGTTGCTGCTGAATGCCAGCATGCATGAACTGACCCGAACTTCTTAATAAATAGGTGTTTCAAGAAGGTTTTATCATGTTGCCACAGTCATATTAACTGTAATGATTTGATTGCAGTAAAGTTTTTGTAAACTAATAAAATGTTGATGTCTATTTGTAGGCTCAGTTACCTGTGCCACAGTAAGAGGCTGAGGGATGTCGTTCATGGGGATCTGCTGCCCTCCGCGGAGATGATCACAGTCTTGAGTCACGACTACGGAGTTCCCTTAACTGATGAGGATCTCTTCACTCAGAAACTTCCTTTACTCTCATTTTCCTCGGATGACTATACGCTGCCAGGAAAAGTTAGCAGAGTGAAACAAGCAGTGTATTCTTCATTAGATAACTACAATGAAGTGTATGTGCAGTGGAAGAAAGAAATGGCAGACAAAATGTCTTTTGAGAGAAACCACGTTGGGGTGAGTAGTTTGTGATACGCCAGAGGCAAGCCTCAGACCTGCAAAACTTCATATCCTTAATCAACACCTCCTTTGTCTCCTGAAACAATGACTCATGAGACTTTTGGTAGGGTGTTTGTAAGTATTGTACAAATATTATAAAGAAGTGCAGGATAATTTTATTTTGCGAAAGCTGAATTGCAAATGGAATTGCTTCTCAATGGGGAAGACAATTTTGGCGCTCAGTGGTAAACAGAGGAGACACTGTGTGAGTGGTAACGAAACTGATTATTTAAAGGATTTGTAATTTCTTTTTGGGTTTGGTTCCTATTTTTCTTTACCTCTTTGTTTTCCATAGTTCCTGCATTGTGCTTTAGCATGTCATCCAGGCTTCAAATGATTGTGGGGCACCGAGTCAACTAAGCTCATGTGAAAATTGTGCGTTCTTCTCTTGCCATGTGAAAGGCTTGCTTGCCTTTGGGCAACCATGATGGCACTTATTGTTATCTAAGTAAAATCAGCAGTTGCAGACAGGGCTGGGCTGAGCTGAGCTTTAAGGAAATGGTGAAGAATTTTAGAACCTCTTCTGTCTTGTTACCAGTGTCCATCTACCATTCTGTTGCCTCAGGGAAAATGGGTTGAAGCCAAACCCTTTCCTGTTAATAGAGCCGTCACAGAAAGGGGTATCCTGCATGTTTCCTGGGAGTCTGAATTGGGTTTTTGGAGTATCTTGCTTAGTTGAGGACTCTAGCCGTCCCGTGGTTTGTGAAGAATAGTTCTGAATGTTTTTTCCTGTATATATTTTAATACAAAGAGGTTTTGCCTGATATGTAGAAATCTGTGTTCCTGTATAAGAGTACTGTCTTGGAGATACTGAAAGAAATATAACTCCTAAGTATTTCCTTTTTCAGTCTTAGTCTGTTGATAAAAGAGGCTACAAAACAAGACAGTCTTATGTAATTGTTCCTGGTGCTTGCATTTATAACATCATAGGAGTATGAGAGCAGCCGAGCTCTTGGGCCTAATCATTCCGCATAGATTAAGTGTAGAGTTATTTTGTTATTTGTATAAAGTTAGCAGTCTTCCCAGTGTACGTGTCTTAACCAGTTTTCGTTTTATACATGCTTTTGCATCAAGAGGATAACAGAGGAAAAGAAAATATGAAATTCTTTTTTAATAGCAGGTAAGGTAACCTTTCAGGCTTTGGATTAAAGAAAAGGGAAAAAAAAGGGAAATGCAATTTTACTGTCTTGCTGTAATTACCTATTATGGCTGAGTCTGAATTCAAAGCCATAATTACCATAAACAGTAGAATGACGTTCTTAAGTCAATGAAAAGGTACAAGCGTTTAATTATACTGTGTCAGTAGAGAAATTTGAAGTGTTCTAATGAATGGTGCATCCCCTGTCACATGTTTGAAGATGACCAGCATCAGCTTTCCAGAACAAACATTTAGATCTGTAAGAAGAAGTCATTCCCTGGTGAGTGCTTGCCTCCAGTCTGCTGCCCTTCGTCTTGCAGGATGTCACATGCCAAGGGTGAAATGGTGCTGTTGCTTTTTAATAGTCTTTTTGTGGAGTATTTTGGTAAGAAAGAGCTGTTGTGTAATAAATCTATATATAAATATAGATTATGTTTTGCTGGAGTTTTTTAAAGTTTTTTTGGTTTAATGTTTACAGAATCATTTGCTTGTTTATAATTTTTCATAACACTCTGAATTCTCAATTCAGACAGAGCTCACATGTAATCTCTCTTTGCAGGCTAACATTGGTGCTGTACGCCAACTCAAAGGAAAGATGAAAAAGCCAAAGTTTGAAGTTTTCAGGATTTCTCCTGGTGATGGCAAATCTGTCTTTAACTACAGCTGTCAGAGCCTGAATTCGGCAGAACTTGCAAAGAAGCGTCTTCGCCAGGAAATGGCAAAGGTAAAATGAGCTGCATAACTGGAAGATCTTGGCTTTAGTTTTACAATAGTAACTTCCATGTTAGCACACATAGGAAGGGAATTTGGGATCCAAAAAGATCTCATTCTGAGAAGTATTCTTCGTTGCTGTGTAAAATTCTGCTCTTATGCTGTTCATTACAGTTGTCTCATCTCCATGACTTGGGCTGTGATTTTGAGTGCAGACTTTGATAACCTCGGTGGTCACGTCCAGTTCTGTGTCCCACACATTAATAAATGGGAGAATTTGAGTAATTGCAGTGTCAGCGTATGCAGTATTAAGTGATTTGAAGAACACATTTAAGAACACATTTGAAGAATCATGTTTATCTGCTTTTGTCTGAATGGCTGGCTTGAATCTTAATAACAAATGCCATTTTCCTGTTAGCTAGTGGAAATTACTGCAGCTCTGTGGAAACAGTTTATGAAGTACCATGAGCACAGTATGACCTAGAGATCTGGTTTTGTGCACATAATATTAAAGATATTTCTTTCTGTAATAATTTTACAGACATCCCATTATATCACTTGTAATTAATTCCATCGTTGGAGCATGATAGAATTGAATTTAATTTTTTAAAAAAATATTTAGTGATATATATTTTGTATAATTTTGTTCTATGATTACTTGCACTCTTAAGGAAAGAAACGACAGTGGTTCTGTACCCTATGGGCTGCGCTCCCAGCAAAGGGGAATTCACACTAACAACAAAAAAATAAAAATCTTTTTTGTGTAGGAACCAAAGAAAAGATTCACTTATTGTCATGAGTATCTGTCTGCCACATTTGACCCAGTGGATGTGGTCGCTGCCTGTAAGGAATTCTGTGCAAAATCCAAGAGTATGTGGCTGTCACCGGAGGGGTTTGTATTTCCCGGGTTTAAGAGCAGCATTGAAAGCAACCTGCACCCTCAGATGCCTGATGAAGCACATCTGGAGGAGTTAAGGGAGGTAACAGAAAACTTAAATCAACACTCCCAAGTGAACTCAAGCGTTTTAGGAGTCTTGAAAGAGGCAGAATGCTTTCGTATATGGAAGTCTTTTTGAGAGGTACAGCCCAGGCAGCTCTTTTGAGGGTGACGCTATATTTGCAGTTAAGGCACAGCAGCATCTTGTTCACCCAGTTGGTACTTTGTTTGGGTACGCAAATTCTACCATGAACACATACAGAAAACCCATTTGCCGATATTAATAGGTATTAATGGACTATAGAGTGCTTTGTTTTAAATTTCCAAGTGAGGTCTAGTGTCAGAACGAGCATAGTATTGCATTCCATGATGAATGGGTTCCAGGTTGTTCTTCATGAGTTGCCGGTGCAGGCGCAGCCTTCCTTCATGTTGCCAAATTCCCTCACAGCTTATTTTTCCTCCATTGTTTATTTACGGTTTGTAGTTACAGTTTTATGGAGTGTTTGTCCTCCACCATTGTGTGTTCTCTGTCAGTTCCTTTCTGCCCTGTGTCCTCCTTCCCTTCGCCTGCTCTCTACTATTTAGCTTCTAATTTCCTGCCGTTTTACTGGCGCATCACCTTCACTAGTTTACAGTTCCCCGTTTGGAACAGTCTCCAGCATTGTGCATACTCCAGTGCATATGGTCTGTGTTAGGAAGAAAATTTGTATGTTATTAGAATTGTCAAGATGAGGAAATAAAGGGAATAGAACAGGGGTTTTTTGGTGCAGGATCAGTAAATTCTACCAAATTAATTGAACGCAGTCATGGCACAGAGTGCAACAGGCTGAATGCTTGGAGGCTCGTTATCGTATCTTGCAAGAATGCGTACGTGTTCATTTAATTTTCAGGCTTTATTTGTCTTCTTTTTTTTCATACAAATTAAAGTAGTTTCTCAAAAAGGTTAGAGTATAGCTGAAGTGAAATGGTTCACGAAAATGAGTGCTTTTTCCTGACCCATGGTGCTGCAGAACGTATCTTCTCGTGAAGGAGCAGAGAAGATTCCCTGACCAAGAGCGAGCCAGTGCAGTCTGAGCGCTGGTGCCTTTTGCTGAAGAGACAAAAGAGAGGAGGGGAACTGGGCAGCACAGGAGCAAAAACTGAGAAGCTGAAAGAGGGGCAGCAGCCTTCCGGTGCAGCAGCTGTGACTGGTACCGGAGTTACCGAACTGAAATACATGGGGGACTGTGATATTTGGTGTGGGAGTAGCAGTTGATTAGTAAGTTGTGTTCACCATTGGCACCTACTGATGGGATGAGAGGGGGGCAGAGAGCTGACGTGTTACCCTGAATGGCACTAAGTGTAACTGGCAGTACCGATAGCTGCGTAGCGCCTGTAGCCATGGAGCTGAGAGAAAAGAGGAAGGAGGCTCCTTCAGCTCAAGCAGGGACCTCACAGGCATGACCAGAGTTATACTGGATAACGGAGATTGATTCTGAGCCTACCATTCATGTTACCTGAAAGGTGGAACAAAAGCAGAAAGCTATTAGGGTCCCAGTCTGAAGCAGTCTGGTTTTGATACATTGCTGCTTTAACCATCCTGGTTTTCTTCTCAAACACGGAATTTGACCATCTTCTGTGACACCATCTCTTGGGAGGCAAAAAAAAATCTTGGAGTTCTTCTGGATTCCTAAAATATCTGTACTGTTTCTATACAGTAAGATACCTGTACAGTATGTATAATAATACTGTAAAATGTACAGTTTCTGTACTGACTCAGCTATCCTTTAACAACACGGTTTTAGGTGAAACAGTGACAGTACACGGCTAACAACAGAGTGGGAGTTAATTTCTAGCTTAGGAAGGATAGTTTTGTCTGAAAAAAATCTAACTGGTATTTCAGCAGTGGGTAGTCAGAGGACCACAAAAAGTTGAACTCTGTTTTGCAATCATGATGATGAATATTCCTGCCACGATCCCACCTGCTTCCTCGGGACACCTGGGCTCTTGGCCCCAAGAGTTTAATACTACTGACTGTAGTTTTAGAAGCACTAGGACAGCTTCTGCTTTCTAAAAGCGCTATGCTTTACGATTATCCTTGAGATGATATATAGCTCTCACTATTCTGGCAATTCTGTACAGCCAGCCGTGGGGAAAAGATAACTAACTCGTTAGGTTTTGGGCTGGGTCTATCCTCTTACAGTCTCATTGTGCGGAAGAGGATATTGACACGGACTGGCATGGATGAGAGGGATGCTCCACGTTTGCCGGCAAGTTTAGCAGCTGTGTATGAAATACAGGAAAGCGCAACAGACCCTTTATATCATTGCAGAGAAATGTGACATAAATATGAAATTGAATCCCCTGCCAGGTATTTCTCAGGTATACTGTAAGTGCCTGTATGTTAGCTGACAGCTCAGTACTAGACTATCAGCAGCTTGCTCACAAAATGGATCTTTGTTCTTACTCAGGTGTATCAAACACATCAAATTGAAAGGCTACTTAGAGAAATAGTCTTGTGTAGTAAAGTCTGGACTTTGGTAAGATCCTATTATGGTAGTTGTTAGATTGCTACCCAAGAATACGGCTAACTTATTTTTTGTGACTCCTCACTGGTGATTTTGGCCTGTCTTAAAGGGATTCAATTTTCATTTAGAAATGGCAGGAGAACGCTCTGCATGCTAACATGGAGCCAGTGCTCTCACGGGACAGATGGAGCTGGGACAAACGGCACATTGATTTTGATCTTTATAAGAAGCCACCTGAGCTCTTCATGACAACAGCCCCACCGCCTGGTAATGGTTCTGTTAAAATTAACTAATTACAAAGCTTTTAACCTGAAGCTCTGACATATGGTCCCCAAAGCTTGTTCAGATCTGCCATTGAGGAAGGGAGTTTGAATGCAAAGAGGTTTAGCAAGGAGATCCATGTACGGCAAAACTGTTTGTACTCCAGCAAGTAAAGCATCTTAGGATGTAAGACCTTGGCCGTACTCCCATTTCACCCCTCCATTTACCCAACTTCTCAGCCTTACTTCCTTTGTCTGTAGTAAAATAGGACAGGGAGGAATAGATCCTTCTTGGCGTATTCTTCTGTAAAGCTAGCTCTGGTGGCTGCTGGATCTTCCTTTATACAGATTGGTGACAATCAGCTTTAGTTACCGAGGGCAGACAATGAGCTACCTCATAGGCTGTAAGCAATCGCAGCTAATTGGTGGTCCAGAGGGGGACTGAGATGAGGCAGTCAAATCTGCACGCGCTCTCAGCAGCCTGTAGTGTGCCTGTAACCTCGTGTTCTCCCACAAACGGTAACAGGCAAAGTTGTATTTCATTATGAAATGGCATTTTGAAAAGTTTGCCATGTGTTTCTTTTTGCCCAGAACCCACTGAGAGTCACTGCAATATTTACAAGCAGAAAATAATAGATTTACTGTGGTTGTTAGAGTCTTTCATCTTTTACGTTTCTGCTGCAAATTGCAAAACACTCTCTTGGTGCAGTTCTTCTCAAGTGCTTCTTACAGAGAAATGCTTTTGGAAGCAGTCAGGATAATTCCACGTTCACGTGTGTTTTATGGAGCCTAAAGGGCAGTGAGTTGTCTTTGCTGTGAGCACCAGCCATTATTCTAACACCTCTATCATTTCTTCTGGTGGAATCCTTGTGAGAAAGGTTGTTCTTTGCCATAAAGGCTTGTAACCTACTTTTTTTTAGTTCAAACAGCCAAAACTTATCTTTTCCATCTAACTGGTTTCTATTGCCTGGTTTTTCTTATACAGTCTGTTGTTGGCCTTGTGAAGATGCTACTCAGGTTCTGCAAACCGCCTTTGGTGATACCAAGCTGAAAGCTCACCAGCGCTCCACAGCAGCCGAGTCACCCACGTGTGGGCCAAGAGCCAGCTTTCAGCTGCAGAACCTCCGAGCGCTTCTGAAAGATGAACCTCTGAAGGTCTCGCTCAGGAAGGCAGGACCCATTTTGAAGGTAAAGGGTAACTGACCCTGGCACCTACCTTTGCGCAGCAGCAGCTGTCCTGCGCTTTGTGGAACACAGATAACATGTGACACTCTTAATTTAGCACAATACCTTTGGAAGTAAAAATATTTGTTAAAATTGGTGTTGATAGCACTGGTTGATTCCATCTTACAAAGCTCTTGGTAAAACATATCAGCCTGGGCACAAAATGATTTATATTTTTTTTTTTTCGGTTCTTTGCTTTGATGCTCAGATAATGGAGGAAGGGGGAGAATTTCTGTTCAATTAACTGACTTGCCTGTCAGTGTGCAGTGGGTGAGAAAAGAAGAACAATTTTTGGCCAGCTGGCTTAGCAGCTCTAAAGGAAATTGTAATGTCCCCTAATGAAATATAGGGGCTGAGGCGCTTCTATAGAGTAGATGCCAAATGTCTCACCATGTGTTCTCTTGATTACCATAGTGCTGTATAGAGCGCTGCACTTCAGCCTGTTGGTGCAAAAATCCCACACAGACACCCCAGTTTGCAAGACTAAAGGATTTGTGCTCATTAATATGAAAAGCTGTACGGGTGGTCTGCACCTAACTGTTCTTTTGCTGGCTGAATCGCAGTCGTGCTTGCATGTAAATGACTGACCCAAACCCTGAGTATGCCTCTAAAGCTGATTTTGATCAAAGGGGCTGAAGCTCACTGTTGGCTACAAATGCTCTACAAAAACAAACACAGGAACTACCAGAATGGTGGTAGCAAAAGCAGAGTTAAACCTTTGAGGCCAGCTCACTGCCACCCTCCCTCCCCTTTTAAAAAAAAAAAACACCAATCGCTGAGTGCCGGTTTTTGTATTAAAGGGACACTCAGCAGCAAGCTGCCTGGCCTCCTCTGCTTGCAGTGTCAGGCTTTGAACTGCATATCCCTTTGTGCTCCCTGTGCTTGGCCTTCTCTTTTGATTTGGCTGCTCAAACTATGAACCTTGTCCATCTTGGGCTCTTTGCCTGTTTTCTGTAATTCAGTACTCAGTCCTTTTTGCTGGAGTGCATATAACTACCCTTATCAGTTTATGAGCTAACTTCTATCTTGCACTTCATGACATTCTGATTATGGCAATCAATCAGACTTGCCTCTGTCCTAGCCCAAGTTTCTTGAACGCATTTTTCAGGCCTTCCAACTATAGCCAGTAGGAAGACATTTCTGTCTTGTCTCACAAAATTCGCTACTCTTTTGCAAAGACAACGCTTTACAAAGGAGATGTTATGTGCATTAACTTCCAAGGTTCTGCTTTGGGAGAAAGATAAAAAGTAAAAAAAACCCCACAAGACAACCACCCCCACCCCCTATTGCCATCCCCACGAAAAAAGCACTGTATTTTTAGTTCTTGCTTTTAATAATTTCCAAAATAGCCTCATTTTCCAGTACGGTGTTTTTCCTCTGACAGAAAAAGAAATAAAAACATCCTTGCCGGATGATGTGCCTGGCTGAAGGAACAGAGAATTTAAACATGATGGCTATATTAAGGCTAAACAGCCAGAGTTATGTTATCACAACATCATTTATTTTCTGCTTATTTTTATGCAAGACTGTCTGCAGAAGGGTGAACCCAGGAGCTCAGCTCCACTAGCTAGTTTAGTGCCATTGCCTTCTCTTACCTGCACATTCTTATGCTACTGTATTCTCTACCAATTTGTTTCTCTTGGATCCCTTCCTCCTTCACCTGATTGGTTTTTTTTAAAATCATCTTTGCTGTATTTAAGCAGTGTAACTCTCCCCCCGCCCCTGGCTCCCGGAGGCGGATGCCTGACTGATGACAGGTCCTACCATCCGCGCAGGCCCGGGCATTGCTGCAGCCCAGCGGGATTGCGCGTTCTGTCGAGCCGGCGCTCCGGCCGCCCTTCCCGAGGGCTCATCGCTCATCCCTCCGCACTGGGCTCTGGCTCTGCACCGCACTCCCCCAGCTGGTAACTGACACGAGGCAGTCTTTCTGGCGGTGTGTACTGGGAAACGGCCTCTTCCCAGGCACAGGCTTTGTGTCTCTAACAGCATTTACTTTTTGCTATAAAAGAAAACATGGACTTTTTAAAAAAGCTTGTAATCACACAGGCTTCCTGTACCTGCTTCCACTGCTCGACTGTCTCCCAAACCATGTGCTTTATTTAGCCGTCTGTGAGCGTAATCTGTAAACTGAGTTACGTATGCTCGGGTCTCGCCTTCAACTCATGCTGCCGGGTAGATGTAGTCTCTCAGATCTTGTCTGGTGCAGCCGTTTGATTACCGGGACAATTCTGCTAACTATTTCTACTCACTTGTTAGGCAAGCAAACCACCTGAGGACTGAATGACATCTCTGTGGACGCTTCCAAGCCAGAGCTTTATCTTTACTGACTAACCTCGCAGCTCTGGTTTTGGGGGTTTTGTTGATTGGTTGTTTTGGCGGGTTTTTTGTTTGTTTTGTTTTTTTCCATTTAGCACTAAGACTCAGCTTGTGATTTATATCGTAAAGGTTTTGAAGCGCAAAGGTTGCACATGATGTCTTTTTTTTCTAACGTGATCTCAGATCCAGGCTTGTAAGACCATACGAGCTTGAGCAATGCGGACTTTAGCTGTGTACGTTTCCAACCTTACAGTTTGCCTGGAAGGCAAGTGCTCTGGGGCTCATTTTTGTAATGAGGGTGCAACAGCTTTCATGTTCTTGTCTGTATTTTGGGGAATCAACAATTTAAAAATGGGCTCACCTTGGAGCTTCAGAGGCACCCACGACTTCTGCGTAGGCAGACATTCCTCACCTCTTCCTTCTTCTAAAGCCTGGCTGGCTGAGCACCTCAACAGCTGCCATCCTGTCCCAGCGTATGCCAGCCCTGTCGGCACTGGACAACCAGCCCCGTGACACCAGTTCGGATGCCTTCCCAGGAAGGAGGAGGAGCATCGCCAGTGGCTTTGCACCAGGCCCTGATGACCAGCACAGCTTGAAGTGGTGCAAGAATGTTATTACCTGGCACAACAGAAAGCAAGAGAAGTTTGGAAAACTCCAAGGTGCAGATTTCAAGTAAGATAAACTAATTGCTAAGATTAGCAAAAGTGGGCCCACTTCATTTTCTATGTTGCCCGTCAAAGACTTACACTATACAGCCATTATAATAATAAATTACTTAGATCCATAAATTAATTTCTTCGGATGCGTCCTGAAGAGACAAACCAATTAGTTTGGCGTTCTCCCAACTTGGCATTGTTGGGAGGTCTCCCTTTCAAGTCTACACTCCAGAATTAAGGAATCCGGTTTGTCACTGGTGAGCGCTGGCCCTGGGTGTCACTATGTGGTACCTGTATGTTCACAGGTTCAGCTTTGCACAGAGCTGTCAGACACGGACACTTCAGCCATGTGCCTGGCCGCACACTGGAAAACGCAGGCTGCAGCAGCATTTCTGATCTAAGAAACATAAATCAAGCTCTTCAAGTGTAATTTTTTACCTTTCCGGTTTCATTTAATGGCTACAAATTGGAAGAAGTTTCACGTTATTTGAACTTTGTAAACTGTATCAGACAGTAAATCTTGCAGTAACAGGAAAATTGTAGTTACTATCTCAATTGCATATGGAACAATGTAAAGTGGTTTAATTGGCATTTTGTTCTTTATTGTGGGAGACAAGTTCTGGTCTTTGTTTTACTGTCATGCTATCACATAGTCTAAGATACTTTGTTTAATTACTCAGTTCTTGCAGAAATGGACTCTTTCAGATTCCCACACTAGATATAAACCATGCTCAACAAGGTCAGACTTCTTTGCCTTTTGAGTGGCAACTTGTGAAACGATTCATTAGCTCCTCTGTTGAACCCAGTATTTTACGAGGTTGACCACTCGATTTGTCACTTCATCGTTGGCCTCTGTTGTCCCAAGGCAAGGCAGAGCTGCATCCGAGAGAACAGGGTGTTTGCTAACAAAATCACTGGCTTTAGCTGATTAAGCTATGCACTATTAAGCTGTTAACACATTTTGCCAGAGCCCACACCAATCCTGAAACACTGCAGCACTTGATGGTCAAAATTCCTTATTCAAATCACACTTCTAAGAGTTGTTGAGCAACAAGAATGAACTAACAGAGTCACAGTAATTGATGAAAGCGGTAAGCTCACTGGCTATTAATTAGCGTCAATTATTTTACAGATTCAGTGTGTTTAGTAAACACCTTTAATTGAAAAATTGCAACACTATGGAACTTGTAGATAAGAGATACAGCTTAACCTAAGAGAGGTTACTTTGCGATAAACATTCATTTGTTCACCTGAGAGAACAATCGGCAAGAGCAGGAGGCCCCACCACCGTCCTCACCCAACAGCGAGGCCCTCTCCAGAATGATACGGTAGCGCACAGTTATTCTGGACACAGGTAACTCGGTAGACAGAGAGCACTCAATGAACAACAGAGAGTTGGTAATGTATAGCTATGACCCCAAATACTTGCCTTCCTAATGAAATGTGGCCAGCAAATAACCCCCAAAGGCAAGTGTGGGGACACTGCTGAATGTATCACTGGATAAAACTGACCCGGTAGGGACAGTTAAGAAGTAGCTAAATTACCTTTGGCTACAGGGTAGGGGAAAAAAAAGGTGTAAACTGTCATCAAGACTAACGCTCATGAAAAATCTGTGTCTTGTGAGGTGTTTTTTTTTTAACAGGGCTGACAGCCTACATTTACATAACCCCCCCTATTTATTGTTTCTAAAAAAAACCCAAAGGGGGCATGTAAGGCTTAAGACCAAGGCCAAGAACAGGAGATGGGGATGTTCTGATTAAATAGAAGGAAAAACATTTACGTGGGAGCTCAGAGAAACGGTGCAACCCCCATCCTTAGGGACGCTCCACACAGGCCTGGAGAAGGCAATGGTGACTGTAGCTGGTGCTGCTGTCCGCAGCGCGCTGGACAAGATCACCTCTGGAGGTCCCTTCCAAACTACATCGTTCTGATTCTGCAAGTCTCTCTGTGCTTCTCTACAGTAAGTAAATAGTTGATTTAAGCTTAAAGATACTTACAAAAACACCCAATCCCTTCCCTGGGAAAACACATCTCACTGGCTGAACCTCAACTGTCTTTATTTAGCTCCAAGGGAAACAGACATCTAATAAGATCACTTGAGATTTAAAGAAAATTTATTTTTCTTTATTTATCCTCTTTATATGAAGTTGTGTTTAGAAATTTTATTTTACATGGTTACAGCTAATTACATTTGGTAAACTCACAAAATAGTTATTTTTAAGGTGTCAAATGCAGAAAATTAGCCACTGCTTTACATTCATCAGCATTTGCTGTCAGGGAAGCAATCAGAATGTCCTGTCCAGCGGATGAGAACAGGTATACGCTCTTTTTTCCAGTACCTGTTTCGCAGCTTTTTTAATACAGTCATCCAGATTTTCATCTGCATCTGTGGAGAGACAGAAGGGAAGTTAAAACTAAAGTACCATAAATAACTTTCCTCAATTTCTCTCAAAAAGGCTTTTACAAATGCAAGTACCTACACTTCAGTGCCAGGACATAATTCAACATTATCTTCTCAAATGGCTGATTATTGCAGCCCGAGTTTCACAGCGCAAACGCCTTATTGGTCAGTATTTAACCAAATAGGCCAAATACCTAATTGTTAGCTGGTATTTTCTTTATAGGAGTATTTGCTACTGATTGATAGATTTTATATTCTTCCCCACAGCTGGGAAAAAAAAGAATCACTGCAGTTTGTTTTATCTATTAAATGAAGAGTTTTTATTTTCAACTGGTACAGACCAGTTCTGTTCCTCATCCCAGTTCAAAGCAGAGCAAAACTATTCTGTTGGTCACATCAAAACCACCTACTTTTGATTAGAGTCTGTGCAAGCCCTAGGAGTATAATGTTCATTTTATTTCATAGAACTTACATTTTTGTAATTGAGCCATGGCATAATTATTCTTGAAATACGCTTCCGTGCAGAAGATATTTGTAAGAAGCACCTGAGAAAACAGTAAAACTCAGTTAAAAACTAGTACATGAATTTAATAAACAAAATAACGTAGTAAAAATACAGTAATTTAAACTTCTGGACGTCTAATTTTGTCTCTTGCTAATTGGAGCCCTGCAGGCTTAGTTGTTATCTTTTTCCCACAGCTGCCCAGTGTCAGAGTTGGGATGACCCCTTCACTCAAAACTGCCCGGAAGACACTGTTGGTACTGATCCAGAAGGGGGTTCCACACACGAAATCTGAAGTCTCAAGGCCAGTGAGGACAAAGGTTAAGCGGTTTGGATTTGTCTAACACTTAATTGTAGCAAATTTACTTGTCCTGTAGCATAACCGTTACCACAAAACTTTAAGTGAGCTACTACACCATCCCCTCGGTGCCAAACTCCCACCTTACCGTCAATAAATTGTCAAAATATTGTTGTTATTACACGTTCCTATTTATTAATGATTATATGGGAAGTTTGGGAAGAACTGCATGGTATTAGCAGGTTTAAGAGAACATGCGCATTTGTGATTAATTCATAAATGTGTATGCATGTGTTAAAATATTTTAAATAGCTTGATAGCATACAACTTGTGTGTTCAGAGGACCAGAGAGGCAATTGGTGTGGGTACCGCGCTCTTGCACCAACCAGTTTAGAAGCATTCTGGCGCACTGTTGGTTTTACAGGAGAGTTTGCTGTGGTACATACACATTCTTAAGAAATGCAGAGGGTACTTCTTTTAAATGTAAGGAAAGCTATTTGTCAGTGGGGTTTTGCGAAGTCTGAGACATTAGCACGCATTGCCGGCTGGTTTAGCGCACTCTTTTGGGGCAGCAGCGTGCTCAGGCAGGATTCAGAGTTGAGGGAAAGCGGACTCGTCGAGGCGAAGGCGGCTGGTTGAGCCCTGTGGCAGGCAGGCAGGCTGTCACACTGCAGGAGAAGGCTGAGGCTGGATAGTGCCTCTTTATTACAAAGCACTCAGTGAGGCAGAACGGTAATAAATACCGATTGTTAAGCTACATGATCCAAGAGACGCAGACATTAAATGGGTATGACTGAGATTAAAGTACACTTACTTCATGGTCGTGGTTTCTTAGCCCGATGCTGATTGAGCGGCTGGCTCTGGAAATAGCTGCGGTCATCGCATATAGATTAATGACTATATCTGCCACTCTCTTCAGAACCAACTGCTCGTCCACTATTGTCTAGAAGAGTAAAAAATGGTTACTAGCTTGTAGGTTGTCAATTTAAAACTTTACCCAGACATTTTTTTCATGCTTTGCATTTTGGGTCATACTTAGCACCGACAGGTAAGTTGTAACCTAGAATTTCTACCCTAAGTCACACAGTTTTGCATTAATTTATGCTCCGCCTTGTAACGGTTTTATATGCATTAACTATGTTTAAACTACGAAGTTTTGGATTAACTGTGTTCCACCTTTTAATGGTCTTTCTGGCTGCAGCAAACAGTAAAATTGTGTCTTGAAACCGCTTTGATAAGTGCCAAAATCACTGACATTTTGAGTACCAAATATAGTAATCCTGTTCAAAAAATGTATTAGGTCAAGTGGAATGTGGCAGGGCTTAGTCTGATAAGCGTTCTCAGGACACATCAGCTTTAACTGACATAAAATTGAAAATCCAGGGTGTTCTAAGTTCAGTCTCTCCTATTTTAACACCTCCACTTTGCATGGCATAATTACAGCTTCGTTAGCTGTACAATACTGATGAATAGCATCAATTCTGGTGTAGCTCTTCATTTGGCAACAGGGGAATGGGGTCCAGTGACTGCCCACAGCAACTACTTAAAATGGTCACCAGAGCTGGCAGGATTTGTGCCCACAGAGGTAGAAGAAAACAACTAATTCACAGAGATTGTTGGTTTTTTGGTTGTTGTGGTTTTGTTTGGTTGTTTGGTTTTGGTTTTAACCCAAGTTATCTATTACATCGAGTCTAGAATGTCACTATATTTTCTTATATTCAATGGAAACATGTTGTGTAAAGGAAGTCCAGGCTGTCACCGTTCACACCGTCCACTCTAGATTCTTGTGAGGCCAATTTGGTTGAGGATAAACTATTC